AAAAATGCAAATATGAAAGGTCAAACAGGCTCTACTACAGTGTTTTCAAACAACCATGGCGTCACCCTTGTCAATTGGCAATGGAGACAGAATTGTCCCTTGGGAATCTGGTAAAATTGCATGGGTAATTGCTATCATTATGAAAACAATAGCCTAAAAACTGCAAAAAAGTGTCTAACATTCTTCAAGTTTTAACACCTTTGGATATATTCTTTGCAAAACAATTAGCATAGTCACAAGTCTAAAGGGTCATCTGTATTTGTAATATATGCTGCTTCAGGTCTTTTCCCCAATTTGACACAGTTGGATTTGGCCGAAATATGTCTGAATTGTCTTCTTGTTTGATTTTGTTATTTGTGTACATCTCTCTGCCTTTGTAACCTCATGACTGTCTGTTGACAGGACATCCAGACTTAAAACCAAATGTGACTTCTCGACCAGACTAGTTCTTTAGACAAGAAGCCATTACTCCATTGGTTGGACCACTACAGTCAAGTGGAAAGAATATATTGTTATTTTGCTTATATCCAGTTACTCCAGTGCCCCCAAACATTGTTCCAGATGCCCATACATGGACTGTTGTCACTTTCCAACCAAGAGAACAATGTCACTCTGACATAATAGATATTAATGTGCACATTCAAGGAAAACTTGCAATATCTGGGTTCTGTTTCAGAAAGAAATTTAGATTGTTGATGACAGAATCACATAAAATAATACAGAGGTCTTCACACTTGTGGGTGATAAATACCCTGTATTAGGAATAAGCAATATGTATTTCGCTCACCAAGGTTTGCTTGATACAATGTTTACTTATAATACAAGATATCTACAAACCCAAAGCACACTTGGATGATGGCATCAATATATCTGTTGTTCGGCCTAATTTAGTTTGTTTGTTTAATGCCGCACTCAGCAATATTCCAGCTATATGGCGGCGGTCTGTAAATAATCAAATCTGGACCAGACAATCCAGTGATCAACAGCATGAGCATCAATCTACGCAATTGGGAAATGTGTCCACCAAGTCAGCAAGCCTGACCACCCGATCCCGTTATTCGCCTCTTACAACAAGCATGGGTTACTGAAGACCAATTCTAACACGGATCTTCACTGTATGTTTGTCTTAAATAGAAGGGATGATATTCTGCATGAAGGGAAAGTAAATCTCTTTTCTGTGTGTAGTTTTAAAATATCAAATACAAAATCATTAGTCATATTTTATTGCAGGAAAACTGAATGATAGAATATCTAGTTTCCGTTTTTCTTGTTCATCATGATGAAATATTATCTACCTTGCTCCTTTAAAGCACAATCCTCTGCTACCTCCACAAAACATTGATAACATTGGCAAAAAGTTTAAAGTTTTAAATCTTGAATATTTTTACGAGTTAATGATGATTTTATATTGCTAATCTATATTCCAATTTTGTAAAGAATATAACTCAACTTTGATATTTCCGTGAAAGGCTATTATATTTCTTTCACTAATAACCACTTTGTAGTGCAATCTGTTCACTACTACAAGATACTATAAAAGATATTTAACCATAACAGTTAGGAACAGGAAGCTAAACACTGGAAAAAGCCATGACTTTGATGAAACAACAAGTGCTGTCATTAATCATAAGGCCTGCATGGTTTAACCTTGACTTGATTCGGTCCCTTTACAAAGTCAAACATAAAACATTAAAAATTGAATGTATGAGTATATTTTTAAATTTATTAAAGACATCATGGTGAGACCAGATCAATAAATATTATATATTTCAAAACCAAAAATGAAAACTGTGATTGCTTAAAACTATAACAAGTTAAATTTATATTTAGAAACAATAATAGATTCTGAACAATTAAATCCCCATTCTTTGCCATTTTTCTGAAAAATTTAGTAATAAATGCAAGAATGTACAGACTGGTCATGTAAATTTTCAGGCATAGTAGAAATTGCTTGGGGCTGCTAACTGGAACAAGGACCTTAATCCTATGACTACAGTCTTTACAGTCTTCTCAAAAACATGGGCATATGCAAAATGTCTGTTGAAGGTCAGGTCTAAATCGCTGGGAATGAAATCAAATACTGGTTGTTTTATCCAGTACAGCTTCTATTTATCAGTCCCAGAGAAGCTGTAGAGAATGAAAAAAAGTCTGCTTTGACGAACAAATGACGAAGACTGTGGAATGACAAAAAGCCGACACTTTCTCCTCCAACATAAAATCTGCTTCCCTGATCAGCTGACAAAAACCCAGACATGGACATAACAAAGTGATTTTTTGCTTCTCTGACTGACTGCTCCATCAATACCGAGTCAGCAAAGTAATTGAAAGAACAGACAGGAAGAGATTGAAAATGCAAACTTCACTTTTCGGAGTAACTTGTTTTGTCTCTGGAAAATCCTCAAAATAGAACATTCACACAAAAGTCACTATAGATTTAAACTATTCATCTCAAGTATATATATATATATACTCAAAGAGATAAAATATTATGTTATACAAACTTATACAAGAGAATAAAAAAAACTTGTAAGAAAAGAGTCCAACAGTCATGTTGTATTAAGTTTGTTGTACAAGACAATAAACACACATTCTAAGTTGGTGGCAGAGTGACAGCAGTGACAGCCTCTGCCAGCCCACACTGTCCCTGGCTGGGAATGTCACTCTGGGGGAAAAACTCCCCCTTTGTGGAGGAGCAATACCAGGCTTGCTTGCTGTGTTACACATACAAGGCAGTTGGTGCTTCCCACAGTTAGAATTACAACAATGAAAGCACTGAGCATCTTACATTCAGACTTACAATGATCTATTCACTGAAAATTTCACATTTTCACCTATGGTGATCTAAGCACTGAAGATCCAATGGTTAGATTTAAGCTCTGATCAAACCTAAAAGTTTGACTTACAATGATCTGTGTTCTGAAGATCCCATGGTCAAACTTACGATGACCTAACCTCTGAGGATGCCACCGTGAGACATACGATGATCAAAGCAGGGGGCATTCCAATGCTGATATGTTGAGTTTACTTGGCTTTTAAAATATGATGCAGTAAGTTCAGAGATTCCTAAAATTCATACTGGAAAAGACGTAAGTCTCACAAAGAGCCACTTGGGGCATCAGAAGGCAGAAACTGGAGGCATCAGGAGGCAGAAACTGGGGGCAACAGAAGGCAGAAACAGGGGGCATCAGAAGGCAGAAACTGGAGGCAACAGGTGGCAGAAACTGGGGGAAACAGAAGGCAGAAACTAGGGGCATCAGAAGGCAGAAACTGGGGCATCAGAAAGGCAGAAACTGGGGGCACAGAAGGCAGAAGGCAGAAACTGGGGTCATCAGGTGGCAGAAACTGAGGGCATCAGAGGCAGGGGGCATCAGAAGGCAGAAACTGGGGGCATCAGAAGGCAGAAACTGGGGGCATCAGAAGGCAGAAACTGGGGGAATCAGAAGCAGAAACTGGGGGCATCAGGAGGCAGAAACTGGGGGCATCAGAAGGCAGAAACTGGGGGCATCAGAAGGCAGAAACTGGGGGCATCAGGGGGCAGAAACTGGGGGCAACAGGAATCACAAACAGGAAAAAAAGCATTGATCACCTGGAGAATCTGTTCATACAGATTTATAGTAGAATTAACAGAAGCATTTGGTAAAGGATTAAATCCATTTCAGATAAGTTTGATTTCTCAAAGGCAGATAAAAGTTGCGTTACTAGACTGTGATATACAAGCAATATTCCTGCCATGTATATTTGACATGTGTAAAACATCAGTTACTCTCTCATCATTGGGACATTGTTCTGGGGCTCTGGAGATGAAGTAAATGAGCACACTGTAGGGTTTCATGCCCCTTACAAATATACTACACATCAGCCCACCATAATGTTAACCGCAGCTATGGGCGACAGCATCAGCATCAACCCTTTCCATCAGATGGCACACAAAGTCTATTCAGGTACTACCTGAACACTCCCAGCTAATCCATTCCTACATTCATAGGTTCTCCAATAAACATGCACCCTTGATGATCCAGGTTAGAGTTGGGCTTTAGCAAACCATGCTTGTCTAAAGGCCGACTAACGGGATTGGGTGGTCAGACTCTCTGTCTTGGTTGACACATGTCATCGTATCTCTATTGCGTAGATCGATGCTCATGTTGTTGATAACTGGATTGTCTGTTCCAGACTTGATTATTTACAGACCGCTGCCAAACAACTGGAATATTGCTGAGTGCAGCGTTAAACAACAAACCAACCAACCAATAAACATGCTTCAAACAACACAAAGATGTCACAAACATCATCATCTACGCGGACTGAAGGTTAATTGGAGACATGTGGCCATGTAGTCGAGATTTCATCGTCAATTATCGGTTATATTCGCTCATCAAACATAACAACAATTCTACACATTGTGCTTCTGGAAATTGAAAGTCAAAGTTCCAATTTACATCATAATTTGAAATTTATTAATAATGTTTCTTAAATAAAAATGCCAGGTTGGCTTTAAATTAATGATGAGATTGTCATCTAATCTAATAAACGTTTGGACACTTAAAAACGTTTGGTACTGAATTGCAGTTTTCTTCACTTAATTTCTTAACTTATTTTCATACAGTTCTAATCAATTACTGCATTGGCAGTGAGTAATTATCTAATTACAATGGATATAATGAGTCACTGAAACATGTTGAAACTGTCAATATAATCATGATAAAAACAAATATTTAGCAAGTGTCTTGGAAAGATACTGAAGTAGTTCCTTTACTTTCACTTTTCATGCTCTTGCTTCAGGTGGCGCTCATGATAAATTTCTTCTGGATGTACAAAGTGCTCAAGAAATTACAGTATTGATTTCTACGTATGCTGAAAAGTGTAACTAATAAATAAATTGCCTGGAACTCAATGTTGTGCAATTATAGTTGTTCCAGGAACAGTTTGGTCACAAAAACACCCCTCAGATTTATCCAACGTCTTATTTCATGCATGAATATTCATGAAAATGAGAAACGTACCTGCTGAGGGGGTCCACATGCTGCTGATTGAAATGAATCTAATCATCAATATGGAATCTCCTGCATGAGATGGCATGTCAGTATAATTTACGTCATTTACATCGCCCACTCCCCCCTAACAGGATAGCCAGGCCAGTTTCAATCAGAACATGGGTCTACAAACAAGCCCCTCAAAACTAAAATTGAATTGCTCGATATTTCAACTTTACAGTCAGCCATTGCCACAAAATGTTTTGCATTGTCGTCATCATCGTCATCCTCATCATCATCATCTTCATCTAGCTGCAATGATGGTATGTATTGCACAGTTCGGTGATATATATCCATCTATATCCATTATGCAGCAACCTACTGACTCGTTGCACTCAAAGTCAGCAAATCATGTTTTATCTGGCATTCTTTGATTATGAATTTATGTCTAAAGTGATAAGGTTACTGCTATAAAATTACAAATACATTTACATAATGTTTGTTTTGTTGATAATAATTTGGCCATTTAACATGTATTCTGAGTGAGTGAGTGAGGTTTTAGCCGCTTTTAGCAATATTCCATCAATATCACTGCAGGGAACACCAGAAATGGGCTTCACACATTGTACCCTTGTGGGGAATCGATCCTGGGGCTTCACCACAACAGGCATGTGCTTTAACCACTAGCCTACCTAACCGCTCCCATCAGACTAATGATCTGTGGTCGGTGGCTTAGATCCCATCATTCTACTTGTTTCCTCCCCATCTATTTTTTTTCAGACACACAATTTCTGTGTCTACCTCTATCATTTGCTAATTGCAAACTTTGGGACCTGGCAAGTAGTCCATCCTGGACCTACATCTGATTACTAAATTACACATCCTATAAAAGCGATCATATACACTTTGAGGCTACACCTTCAGTTCCAAACGAAACTGGCAACGTAACAGTTTATCAACTCTGTGACCCAATAGAAGCCATTACAATGTGTTCCCAAACCAAACTGTGTGACTCTTTACAGTAATATATTCAAAATTCAAAACAAACCTTCACAACAAACTACTAAACAGACGCTATCTAAAAACAATAAAAGGAAACATTCCTTTCAAACTGTACTTATCATTGGCAGACGAAAAGAATCATGGGTTTATCTATACTAGACATCAACTTGAGTCAACTAAAATAACCACAGGGAACGTATTTATATGGCTTACATTGAGATGGGGCTATTTTCTACAACCTCAAGAGTATTGAACAACTTAAGTGGCAATGCTTGTTTTCCTTCTTCCGTAACGCTGCAACTCCTTGGCGCTAGTGTTTCCTCAATCATGGGAACCCTGGCTAATATTGCTCGTATCCCACATTGCAGCACAATACTCACCGTCTGAACGATAACATGTATAGCTAATTATTAAACACTGTTACGGCTGCATCTCATATTAAAGGTTCTGTCATAAACATCCCAATTTATAGAATATAAACAGCGCAGTAATCACCCAAATATAGATAAGCCTCATTATACACACCATAATATTAGCAAAAATAGCAGAATATGATTATATTGTGAAATAATCAGACAGATGTATGTTAACGACTTGTCAAGAGTTATCAGTTGGGAGCAGAGTTCTCAACTCGGTGACCCAGCACAGGAGTATTTTTGAATTACTCTGTTCACATTCTTGCCCCCTTTTTCATGATCTCGTTATATAAACTTCCAAAAATAATCATCATAGCAAAATATTATAATATTTCAAAAATGAAATCCATTGAAATGTCTGTTCTGAAAGAAGTTTTTGCCCTCAAAGAGTACATCATCTGTTTCCTACAAATAGTTGAACAACAAATTGGTAGTAGTAATTGGCTGTTGCCTCAGATAATCCATTGCGATTTAAAGAAAGTTATTTAAATTTGATTCCTGAAGCAGTTCACACTATATCAACAATATTATGGTAGCCTGTTAATAATCTTGTCTGGACCCAGCAGACTGATCTCCCACAGAAAACAACCAGTCACCATGTTTGTTGTTTATACAAGATATATATGGCACTTATCCAGAATGGATCATTTTGACATGAGAAGTATTAAGTGCCATAACATTTAGAAAACCACATATGGTCAAAGTATAGATATATAAACATAATGATTTCAGTTTAAATCAATATTCAATTTCAACTGGTTGACAATAGATTTTCTTTCGATTATTGAAAGAAATCTTTGAGCTACCTGGCTAGAATTAAAACTGAATCTTTCAGTACCTTAACAAATTACATAAACACTGTCCTTCATAAACTTGACAAAAGCAATATATCTATTCCAACAACAGACTCCAGCAGTTTTTCATCCTTTGGTCAGGACTGAGGCTAATGATCATTTTACATGCACATAGTATGTACCTAAAAACTCATTTACTTCATCACATAAAGGCTTGCACAAGAAAAATCAATCAGTTTTGTCAGGCTGGAATACAACAACATCCTACCTGGTAGATATAGTGTGTTGTAGCATAGTGCTGTATGGTATATCAAAGGATAGCAGCCATGACCTACAAGATGCCAGTCTTGGAGGAGTATAACGACAATATACCACCGCCCCTTCCTGGAGCACTGCTGTTATCACATGGAAGTATGTGGACTATGTTGGCCCTGGCCTATGTCACAGGAAGATGAGGATAAAGCAAGACAGTCTCAAGTTGTGTTTCCCACTGGTCACAAACATCTCTATAGATACAACATAGAACACATCAGTTGACACACTATAAAAACCCTTTACACAGAATATAGAAGCTCTTTACACATAAAATATGTAGAAAATCATTACACATAGGATAGAGAAACCCCTTATAACATAGAATATACAAACCCTTTTTACATAGAATATAAAAAAACTCTCCAAAAAGAATTTACCAGTAGAAAACATTAATACATACAATAAAGAAAAAAATTCAACACATACAATACAGAAACCCTTTACGCATAAAATATAGAGAAACCCTGTACTCAAAGAAAATGAAAATCATTACATATAAAATATATAGAAAGCTTCTTCATGTACAATGTAGAAATATTCTACACACAAACCCTGTACACATACAATACAGACATTGTCTACGCATAAATATAGCACCTTCTATTGATGCCATATTTAAACATACAACATAGAAACCTTCTTCATGTACAAAATACAACCATTTACCCATGTTGGAAGAATCCTGAAGAAACTTTGGTCCATACATCTTTGGTGACAAATAATGCATACCAGCAAAGGTAATGTATAATATTTTATTTCATCAGTAATATGTATCCTTTTTGCAAACACCCATTCTCATCACTGATTATCAGTGCTCCAGCCATATAATTAGTCTGTCGTACAGACCCTGAAGCAAATATATCCAAGAAAGCCCACGCAAGTCTAGAAAATGTGGCAAATCTAGATTTCCTTCAGCTTCTGAAAATGAAGAAAGTCTCAGGGCTCCTTTTCATTATATTATATTTTTTTTTACTATGAACTTTTTTCAGTAAAATATGTTCATTTCAGAGACTAGTTGTTAGTCTACCATATAATGTGCGCCACTATTTGGTCTTTATGCACACTGACATCTGTATCGGCACATGATGTGGATTCATGGCTCTCTGGCATTCATATTTTAAGTCTGCAACCATTTTCAAGATGATGTCAGTTATTTCCCAGCAAGTCAGTGAATAAGGAAGGAAATGTGTGGAAGGTCAGAGATGATGGCCACTTTGGTGAAGCCTATGAGCAAGGCCACCTTATTGTAGCGCTAAAATCTGGCGACCCCTCACTTTTGCTGTGTCTTCTCTTCATGATCACCCCTTAATCTCAATGGCCGACTTCCCCTATAATGAATGACCAGTCTCTTATCCAATATGGTATGCCATGGCACTTTGTGTCCAGCGTTATGTAAGTCACCGGGGCATGTTGATAGCACCAGGCCATGCAAGATATTAGGGTGAGATAAGGGCAGTCCTCTCCTTGGTTGATACACCCACATATCCCGCCCCTCCATGTGAGATAATGTGAGTCCCTTCCAGTCATCCTCTCCCAGAACTATGCATGCATGAAACCCACCAGACATGTGGCTAGCATTAGGGATATGGCTTATCTTAATTACTAATTGGCTAACATTGTAACCAATGTTAAACAAAGTAGACACAATCTCCATCAGGATGGTGTGAGTAGGTCTGTTGCTAAAGATGTTATGACAGTGCTGTGAGCCATGTCTGGTCACATTTCTAGGATCAGTGGTCAGCCTGTAAAACTCTGTCTGGTCACATCACAATGAGAGGTGTGCGGAACCAGCGGTCAGCTTGATATTCCTAGTCTGGACACATCACTAGGGTCAGATATTTTACATCTGGTCACATCACTTGGGTTGTGTTTGGAACCAGCAGTTGGGCTTATTGCATGTCTAGTCACATCACTAGGGTCAGTGGTCAGCCTGTTATTGCATGTCTAGTCACATCACTAGGGTCAGTGGTCAGACTGTTCTTCTCATGTCTAGTCACATCACTAGGGTCAGTGCTCAGACTGTTATTCTATGTCTAGTCACATCACAAGGGTCAGTGCTCAGCCTGTTATTCCATGTCTAGTCACATCACTAGGGTCAGTGCTCAGCCTGTTATTCTATGTCTAGTCACATCACATCACTAGGGTCAGGGTCAGTGCTCAGCCTGTTATTCCATGTCTAGTCACATCACTAGGGTCAGTGCTCAGCCTGTTCTTCCATGTCTAGTCACATCACTAGGGTCAGTGCTCAGCCTGTTATTCTATGTCTAGTCACATCACAAGGGTCAGTGCTCAGCCTGTTATTCTATGTCTAGTCACATCACTAGGGTCAGTGCTCAGCCTGTTCTTCCATGTCTAGTCACATCACTAGGGTCAGTGCTCAGCCTGTTCTTCCATGTCTAGTCACATCACTAGGGTCAGTGCTCAGCCTGTTATTCTATGTCTAGTCACATCACAAGGGTCAGTGCTCAGCCTGTTCTTCCATGTCTAGTCCCATCACTAGGGTCAGTGCTCAGCCTGTTATTCCATGTCTAGTCACATCACTAGGGTCAGTGCTCAGCCTGTTATTTTATGT